GAAAAAAAAAGGGGGGGGGGGGGGGGGGATTAATTAAGAGTATAATTGTCATTTTAGCATATATTTTTTACTGTTGTGGGCCTGAAAATTTACTCCTGACGCGCATAGATTTAGTGTATATAACGTGTTTTTCCAGGTGAGCTTTGAGTGTTTTTTTATTGAAGAGTAGGATAGTTAAAGTTACTCTTTGTGCACTTTAAAAGTTTAAGGTCAAAATTAAAATTTGAAGCCAAGTTAATGCATGATTCTATTTATGTGTTATGCCATTAATTTATGATTTTACCATGATAAATTAATCGTTTTGGTGTAAACATCATATGTGAATAAGATTTTACCAAACTCAGTAAGTATCTAGATGTAAATGTAAAACATGGCCAGACCTTCTCATTTGTTTTACTTTTACCATGTGCTCGATTTTTTCTTTAACTATTTCAGCATCAATTCCAATAGTATTTAGATCTTTTGAAACAACTTCTTTCCACGTGATCTTAGGTCCACATACCTCATTTCCTTTTAACACATTTACTCACCATGGTTTCACATGTATATAGGTCGGTGCATCTAAAATCAAATGAGAAAATAACCACCATCTCATTTGTTTTACTTTTCTGGGTTTATTTATACAATAATGTAAACATTGTTCTATTCATAGTACATACCAAGGAAAATACTTGTTGAAACATAAGCTATGATAGGATAATTGTACAATCTTTCTTCATTCTAGCCTAAACTCCATTCCTTGAAAAAGGAGGCCACCTTTTCCATGAAGTCGCATCATCTCCATCAGTCGTGCTTCAACATCTCCTTTGTCTCATGTATTGTTGGAAAAAAAATCTCATTTCTATTTCTATCCATCCTTCGATTCTTTTTTCATGTGCGTTTGCGTCTCATTTTAATATATTCACAATCTTTGGTTTTAGTCCATTAAAATAAATTGACACTTATTGATATAAACTATTCAATTTTTCATTTTGCATTTAAATAATTATCATATGAATTTAGATTTGCACTGCTTAAAGCATAATATAGTGAGTTTTAGTGCTTTCGA